AAAAAAAAAAAAAAAAAAAAAAAAAAGAATCTTGTGTCCTTGAAGTTGAAAGAAAACCTGGGGCGAGGTCCCACTAGCAAAGAGGATTGGATTAAGCTCCTGAATCTGGATGTGTTTTCAGCAGAGATGCAGAAAAGCCGATCAATCTGGATTTTCCGCACCTTTCCACAAGCTTGTCCAGAATCCAGATTCAGGCGTCCAATCAATCCTCTCTGCTAGTGGGACGTGGTCCCTGTATTGAGTGCAGCCCTGCCAGAAAATTCAGTGGCCACAGGATCGTCAATCCTACACGTCTCTGGACCTCATGTTTCTTTTTCTTTTTTCTTTTCCGGCCCATGTTTCATGATAATGTATTCCTCGCGTTTTCCTTTAAAAAAAAAAAAAAAAGCTTCCTCCCTTCCGGGGATGGAATTAGGGGAGAGGCCCCACTTGCACCCCCAGATTCTTCATTTCTAGCCATAGATCCTGAAGATCAATGGCCAGGAATGAAGAATCCTTGCAAGTGGGGGACCTGACCCCAGGAGAACGTAAAATCCATTCAGTGGTGGTTTAAAAATTTAACCTAGGCTGCGAGAGTGACCCGGGGCGAAGTCCCACTTACCCGAATTCTCAAAATCTGACCGTAGATTCGGAAGATCAACAGCCAGAAATGAAGAATCAGCGTCAGTGGGACTCGCCCCCGGGACCACTTGCCTGGCCCGGCCAAATAAATAAATAAATATAGTTTTTTTTGGCCTTATTTGGTAAAGGATTTCGATGTGACCCTGAGGCGAGGTGAAAAAAAGTCATTCAGTTTATTTTTCTGCATAACAGGCTTTTTTTTGGGATTTATTTGGATTTGTTTTTTTTCTTTTCTTTTCTTTTCTTTCCTTTTTTTTTTTTGTAAGGGACCTTCCCTGGGACTTGCGTGGCCAGGTAGTTTTGTTTGGTTTTGTTATCCTTTGTTTTCTGGCATTTTGATTTGGCAGACGGGCGGGCTGAGCGTCGAATAGACGACTTGTTCGTTTTTTTTTTGGGGGGGGGGGACAAAAACTCCAATCTATTCGTGGGGAGCAGCACGTGCTGGAAACCGGGCCCAGCGTCCCATAAGAACATTACACTTCAACTAGGATCTTTTTTGAGAAGTTAAGAGAAACTCCCCCTGCCAGCATTGATTACCCTGGAATCCAGGGGATTAACTGAGCAGGGATCGTCCTTTGATGATAGTTTTTTGAAAAAAAACTGTAAGAACTGTACCCGCCTTTTTTCAACCCCTAAAAATTAACACGCACTTAAGCATATCAAACTCAGGCAGGAACCAGGATTGCTCCTTCCCCTAGGTCACTCCAGCTCCCTCTGGGACTTACAATTTCCTTACAATTTCCTTACTACATCATGCACATGCCCCCGCAGAACTAGGTTCCCCCTCCCTCCTTCCCCACCCTAATTACCTCTTCCCCCGGGTCACTCCAGCTCCCTCAAGGACTTGGGGTCTCGTTAGACACTCCTAAAAGAATCCTAAAATTTTAGGACGAGTCCTAAAGGATTTTTAGGATTTCGTGCGGCGTCGTTACACGCAGTCCTAAAAATCATCTTTTAGGATTCGTCCTAAAAGGTCTCCCGCGGCCAGTTTTCATATGCGTATACACAGCCGCGTCGCCAATGTCCGTCCATTCCTGCCAATGTCCGTCCAATCCCCGCCAACGGCTATCGTTTGTGGCCGTTGCCCGCGTTGACCCACAGAAAACCTTCGATGTCCGACCACTGACCCGACGGACCGCTTCTGCACCAGCAACTCCGTGTCGACGGTGCCATGCGCGCGACGCAACGAGTCCGTGAAACGCGGGAATCCTAAATTTTCAGTAGGTCTGGGGCTACTGAAAAATTTAGGACGATTTTGCCTGGGGAATCCTAAATCCTTTAGGACTCGTCCTAACGCCGTTTTCACATTTTCGATCTCAAAATTGGATTTAAGATTGCATGCAACCAAGACGCAGTCCCAAAAACAGGCACTTTTAGGAGTGTCTAACGAGACCCTTGTCATCTCCTTACCACATCATGCACATGCCCCCACAGAACTAGGTTCCCCCTCCCTCCTTCCCCACCCTAATTACCTCTTCCCCCGGGTCACTCCAGCTCCCTCAAGGACTTGTAATCTCCTTATCACATGACGCACATGCCCCCGCAGAACTACAGTTTCCCCTTCTCCATCTTACCCTTTTCTCCAGGTCACTCCAACTCCCTCAGGGACTTGTAATTTCCTTACCTCATCAAGCACATGCCCCCGCAGAACTAGAGTTCCCCCCATCAATCCTCTCAACCCCTTGACCCCCTCCTCATCTGCCACGACTGATCCGACCCCAAAATCAGCCTAGCCCTAATCAGGTCAAAACCACCCTCCTTCTTCCGGGTAATACACTCCACAAAAAACAAACTACCCAATCCTGATCAATGCCTGTATAGACTCTCACAGAAAATTAGTAGACAAGGACTTAACCTAGAGTAGAATATCACAGCAAAACAAGGTGGGGTTATCCCCCCAAAATCCCCCTTCAGCCCTATTCGAACCCCACTCTGGCTGGACTTACCACGCTGTAGCGCATCCATACCATATTCCAATCCAACTGGCAAGCCCTTTCACCAACTGGACGCGTTATGCCCACCCACACAGCCTCTCCCACCCTGCCTCTAGATCATAGAGGTCACAGAGAATATCTACAGAATATCTATCACAAGCAAGGAAGAATCCTTGACAATAATTGAGATAAAAACACAATCGAAATCAAGAATTCCAGTTTAAGTGTACAACTTACGATCTCAATATGCGATGAAATAAGAGAAGGAAGATTAATTCGGATTTTGAATCTTCAACACCAAGAAGCTATTCTGAAAGTTATATTTCGATTTTATGACAGAACAAAATCACAAAGTAGATTGCTAATCAGGATAAACTTTTGCATCTTGAGATATTGGAATTAAAGGTTATTGATTACGAAGTTCAAAAGGGATGGAAACGTTTAGAATTTACGCCGCCACTGCTCCTCTGAAAAATTAGCTGGAAATTGAAATTCCAGCATCAGAATGCATCATCGTTAGAAAAATCCAGATCATGTTTTACGACAGAAAAAAAAGCACTCAGTAGGGATTTTATAGGCTTGTAATCAGAAGGAAATTAGCACCTCAACCATCAGTCTTGTCACTTAGGAAAACAGCGGACAATCTACATAATTCCTTACCAACCCTAATTCCCACCCCCCACACATGTCATGTCCTTTCTCTCTCCCAACCTCCACCTCCTCCTTCATCGGCCTCAAAAGCATCTCAGCTGCTCGTGGCCTGTATCACATCTAACCAAAAAGGTGAACAATGAAGATTGTCGAACCGTGGCCAACACTTGCCACAACACAGCCACGTAGCGAGCCCAAACCGCCGAGCTTGTCGACGACCCCTTGCTGGCAGTCCGGAGGGAGAAAGAACATCCATGGTGGCAGAACCTACTCAATCCGCCATCTCTCCTAGCCCGCGTTAGAATCTTCACCAAGAGCAGACCTAAGGTCAATACTCCCAGGGAAACGAAAGCAGCACCAAACCCACTCCTCCCCGTATCTTCGCACGTCGCTCTCCTCACACAGCAGTAGAGAAGGTAGAAACGTACCACCGTCGCCAAGGTACAACCACCCTCATCCCACACAGCTACCATCCATGTATCGCCGTGTACAGCAGTGCGCCAACCTCCGGAAGATACCAGCTCTCGCCTTGAAAACGCGATGTCGATATGGGGCGCAGCGCTCCCATTAGCGCTGCGCCCTGAGGAGCCACAGTGCCCAATTCGAGGAAAACTTGTGACCGACGTGTTCCTTAAGAGTTCAGTTTGAATAAAACTGTAAGCTGGCGAGTAGTCTCAAACTGGGGACCTGAAGTACCGTTGTGTTCGGGGGAAGACGGTAGGGTTGTCACGGAAATAAGGGTGCGTTGTGTTCGGGGGAAGACGGTAGGGTTGTCACGGAAACAAGGCTTCGGACCGAAAGGACTAGGTAGGAAGCTCCTGGAGTAGGAAGTAATGATTTTCAGTTAGCCTTACTACCATCTTCCCCCGAACACAACACACCCTCATTATAACTGTATCAAGCAGGAAAGATGCCTTGTATACATTCATGAAGAGGGTGCGTTGTGTTTGGGGGAAGACAGTAGGACTGAAACAGTCCACCTATATTAGCAATGATTGGGTGAGCTAGTGTCCTTTTCCGGGTACTACGCTGTCGGACTGCTGGACATTTCCGGAGATGTTCAACGGAGAACAGCGGCGGCGGTGGGTTGGTGGAACGTTGGGAATGACGAGGGATATGTGAGGTGGAAGCCCCTTGATGATGACCGCGTGGCGGCCTTCGGCCGACACAGAGGGGCGTATGAAACAAACTCAATTTGTAGTAGAAGATCAAGTCCGGTCTGCCTTGAAAAAGGTAGCAAGTAGCTAAATGTTATGACCCGGACCAATTGCGAAGTACAAATTCACCAATCAGCACAATGTTCACCAACTGCAAAAGGAAATGAATGAACTTGAGAGGATGGAGAGGATAAGAAGAAGAAGAAGAAGTAGAAAAGATTGGAAAAGACAATGTACACCAGCAAGAACCAATGTCAAAGCTCTTCTTCTTCGCTCAACTCCCTTGCATCTTATCTCCCCCTCCTCTTTATAAATTCAAACAATAAATAATACA